GTCTACAGAGCTAGTTCCAGGACAAAGCTACACAGAGAAACCCTATCTCAGTCCCCCCCCCAAAGGAACAGGGGACTGGGATGGTTTCTGTCAGGTGACTAGAAGTGGCCCTAGAGAAACCCTCACAGGCTGTAAAAACATGGAACCTGCCATGAAGGCATGAGGTTTGGGGGTGGCCATCTTTTTGTTTGTTTTCCGAGACAAGCTGTCCTGGAACTAGCTCTGTAGACCAAGCTGGCCTCTAACTCACAGAGATCCACCTGCTTCTGCCTCCTAAGTGCTGGGATTAAAGACATGCACAGACACTGCCCATCAGGAGTGGTCATCTTTTTAGAGAGGGATGCACATAGCCAGGGTTCAAGGTAAGACCTGGAGGTTGCTTCCAGTACCCTCCCTCTTCAGGTCACATTAAAGCCAGATGCCTGCTCACCCCTCAGAGCTCAGCAGGTACTTGAAGATAAGGCAGTGAGAAACAGGGGAGACCAGCTGCCAGGCCCAAACCCCAGAACCCCAGCTCAGCCTAGATAAGCTCCACCCACATGCAGTTGCCCCTCTGCCCACTTGGGGGCAGGCCTGGCCAAGGGGAAAGGACAGAAAGAGCCATACATCCAGAAGAGAACAGGTGGGCTAGGTGAAGAGAAAAGTCACTTTGTTGACAGTAAGTTGAATAAAACCATGACTCAGGGTAGGCAGTGGCACAATCCCATAATCACTTAAACAGGAACTTTTGGGGCCAGGTAGTGCCATGTTCTTCCACAGCCAAACCTCTGCTTGGCTTACCCCCAGGACCCTCACCCCAATCCCACTGGTCAAGCAACGTTCAGGAAAGCTGGGTTTGAATTGACTTTATTATTCTGTAAATGTGAATTTTACAAAGCGCTTTACAATTAATGATGACATCCTTTTGTTTGTCATGGACTTCCACCTCTGAAACAGCTCTGAGCACAGGGCTCATAGCTCTTGGGTTTCCCTGGTCAGCTTGCCCACAATTGCCGTGGTTTTAGTTATTGATACAATGTTGTCAGCCATGGCTACAAAGTAACAGTCTTGTCACTACAGGGTCACAGCACAGAAAGAGAGGAGGATGCTGGAGGGACAAAATAAAGGCCTCCTCCTCCCCAAAACAAAAGAAAGCCAAGATGTGGCATCTGCTCTAGCTCAGTGGTTCTGTGAAGCCCTCCTTAGAGGTAGGGGAGCAACTGATTTTATTAACTTATTTTCTAACAGTCACAAGTTATGATACTACTTTAACCCCTAGACAGTGCCTTCAATACAACCCTCTCTTGGGTCCTTTTCTCCAAACATCCCACTAAAGGGACGGATGTTCTCCTTGCACCCAGAGCCACCCAGAACATTCAAGTCAAAAATATTTATACATTTTATACTTTTTTTTGTCTGCTAAAAATAGTATTGCAAATTTTGGCTTCTTTTGACATAAAAATCACAATTGTGTGCAAAATGCTTGCAACGAGGCGACTGATGGGACATAAGCAGAGGCTACTCAATCAGAATGTTTTAGATCCTGCATCCTTTTCCTTTTCTAGGAAAACGAAACAAACAGAAGCAAACACCTTTGCCATTCTTGAAACACTTTGTAACAAGCCCTTCTTCCAGCAGCACAGGCTGGGCTGGCTGACATCATGCAGAACACATAGCAGCACCATTCGAAGGAAGCTGTGGTTAAAGCTGAGATGTCACATGCTCACCATTCCAATTTGGGATCCACAGCAAGCGGATTCTAAGTTTTCAGCTGGTTGGTGGGCCATCTGCCCTTACTACTTCAGCGAGGAATGACCACCTTTGGGGAACCCAAGCAGGGCACAATGGGGTGGGGTGGGACGGGGCAGAACAGGGGTAGCACTGGACATAGGAGGTTCCTGCTGTTGAACCAGGTAGCACCAGGCACCCCACAGTCCCTGGAGGGGACAGGCCCTGCCAGCTTGCCAGTCCCTCACAGGCCCTTCCTTCTACCATCCTCTCGGCTCTAAACGTGTAGTTATCCTGGAGGCCCAGACCTGCAGTCATACCATGTGGGACCCTCAGGGTCTTGCCTCGATTGCCTTTCACACACCGTTGCATCCACATTCAAGGGCAAAATAAGACACTAAATCAGATACTAGCTGAAACAACTGGTATAGAAAACAAAACAGAATTCAAGTACTGAGACAGCCAGCCAGGCAGGCAGCCCCTCCAAGCTCACAGTATCAGCCCTGTCTCTGGTCCCTTGCCCTGGACCTGCTGTACTTGGTCCTGGCTGCCTCCAGGATGGTTGTTTGCTTGGGGAGGGCAGAAGAGTGGTGGCTCGATCCAGCCCTGCCCAAGCAGCTCCAACACAATCCAGTCCCAACTGTCCTCATGGCAAAGATGCTGATGTAGCAATAGTTTCTACAATAGACTCTACATAGTATATGCATATTGCTAGTAGTCAAGCTAGGAACAGAGGTGCAGACATCCGACGAATACAGAGAGGATCTCATTTAGAGGGTCTGGACAAGTCAGGGTCACGTGGCAGGACAAGACAGCCCCGATTCTGGAATTAGTCATCTTGTAAACAAAGGAGGGGGAGTCTGGTTTTTTAATTGGTTTTCCTTGGAAAAAATAATCAAAAGATGCTAAGGCACTCTGGAAGGCCCCTCGGAGCCCAGGCCTGCCACCCTCCTGCCTTGCAGTACATTCAGGTTGCAGAGGGAGTGCCCCCCCAGCAGGTACAGTCATTGGCCATGCATGTCTGCAAACGCTCCCCACCACGTCCACCACGGGACACATTAGTGCAAAACGCTCTGCCTGGCCCACCCGGGGCACAGGGAGAGCTCAGAATCCATTCACATTTAATTAATATTATTGAAGTTTCACCTATAGCTCTTGCCTTCCTTACCTAGAACGAAACAGATGGCAATTATAAACATTAAGGGACAGAGGTTGAGGACATTGTGCTAGCCCGAGCAATGGTCAGGCATTCCGTGAGGCCAGCGGCACCCTCCCTATGCTGGCCCAGGGTGGGGACCATGCCCATCTTGGAGCGGAGGGATGAGAGAGAGCCCTTCTGCCACCAGCCAAAACAGGTGGGTCTGTCTCCCAAAGGTCCCCAGGGATGGTCAAATTAAAGTGCAAATTTGGATGGGAAAAGCAGATGAAGGAATATTCCAGAGGGGAAGGGCACAGCCCCCCAGCCCCCCAATCCTGCCATACCTTCCACAGTTCTATGGTCTTCTCCCAGCACCCGGAGGGTTTGGTCCAAGTCACTAAAGCCTGGCTGGGGCTGCAACCTACCTAGGACTAAGATGGGAATGGGAGAGGTGAGAGATCCATCTCTGGGTGGCTAGTTCCAGAGTTGGATACTAGCCAGCCTCTGCACTTGCCCCAGGAATGCAAGCCTTGGGTTACCAAGGAGCAGGGAGAGGGGCTCAGGCCAGTTCCCACAGTGCCTGCCATGATGCCCCTTTCCCTCACCACAGGTCTTTCAGAAGAAGGGAAGACTTGTACTTATAGTCAGCACAGTATGGGGACTACCCGTGAGGCCACTCCAAGGCAGAGCAGTGCCAGCAAAACAATGGGGGAAGCACAGAAGGAATCTAAACTGCACCTCAGGCTCTCATACCATGGCCCTCCACTCCAGATGGGGAAGGACTGCCCAGCCTGTGGGCACATGGGGATGGGGGATGGGGGGACTGAGGGGGGTGGGGAATTGGAGGAAGAATTGTAGGGCAGCAAATTCAAGATGTATAAAGGGATAGGGAACATTAGACCTTTCAAGTTCAGAATCATGGGTGTCCTTGGGCACTTCGGGAGCTGCTAGGCTTTGCAGGTGAGCAGGCAGTCCCTGGACAAGAGTCCAAGAAGAGACACTTGGGTAATTGGCCTCAGGAGCATATCCCACATGGCTTCAAGCCAGCCAGCTGTCCTCAAAGCCCCTCCTTCAGGCACCACCCCCATGATTTTCTAACTTTCTGGTCCCCACTGAGATCCACACCTGCCTACTACCCCAGCCCAGGCTTGTGCCTGCTGCCAACTACACAGGTACCCACAGTAAGCAATAAGCCCACCACAGGCAGCAGAGTTCTGCTAGCTAGGCCCACACGTGCCACACATGGCTACATATGGCTAGCTGTTCTTTCCTGGGCCCCTTCTGCCTCCAATGGAAGCCAAGCTGGGGGTCCATAGGCATGTATTCACCCAAATCTGTGGTAGCCTGGGGACAGGGACATTAGTCCCTCTCTCATTTTTGTCTTTTCCCTCTTTGGGGTCTGAAAGTTTCCAAACCACAAACAAAATAGATCTGAACTAAACAGAAACAGCAAACAAGCAAAATCCCAGAGTGGCTAGGGAGGCAGAGGTTGGTGAGGACAGCTATGGCCAAGGGGCATGGAGACCCTGGGGGGTCAGCAGGCCAGCCGCTGGGGGTCTGGGTGGAACAGAGCGAGGACATGGGTATGGGGGGAGAACATCTTGTCCTTCCCCCATCCCCAGGTGACAGGTGACCAGCCACAGCCAGTGCTGCAGAGCCATCACTGGTCTCTGCACACACAGACATGCGCACACATTCACTCTATCATTCTCTCTCTCTCTCTCTCTCTCTCTCTCTCACACACACACACACACACACACACACACACACACACACACACAGAGGTGGCTTCTTGGGAGGAAGGAAAACAAGAGAAATCTGGCCTGGGGGGGCCCAGCATTGCCCCACTGGGGTCCTTAAATGGTAAGAAATGGAGTGTCACATCTGCCTCTCCACCCATAGGCCACTACTACCCCAGCTTCCACTTTCAGAGCAGGAGGAATAGGAAGGGTAGATGAGGCAGGGTTGGGGCCGGACACCAAGGACTTGGTGGCCTCTTCTACCTCCCCAAGAAGGGGGAGGGGAGCACTACCATGGGAGACTGAGCTGAGGAATATCAAAAAGTTGCCCTGGGACCTTCCACCCAGAGTGTGGCCAGCGGCCTAAATGTTTACAGTATAATGAATGCGTTTGTTTCCTTCATCCATTTTAAATACAGGCAGAATAAAAATCACATTTTTGTCAGGCAGCAGTAGCAGTTCAGTAGGTAAGTGGCTTGATCACATTTGTTTGTATTAGTAACGCATGCAAGCAGCTTTAGTACTCGGTCCCTTGTGAGTCGGCCTTGCCGGCCCCTTACAAGGTCCCTGCATAGGTGCCCTCTGGCCTTCTTGTTGCTGTGGCCACTGGTGTCTGAGGCCTGCTGGAGCTGGTGTTGCCCTGCTCAAAGGCCTGAGGGGAGCTCTGGCCATCAGCAGGCAGTGGCTCAGGGGCAGCCACCTCCTGGATAACCGAGCCTGCCCCATCCACCTCCTCACTAGCCTCAAAGGCAGGGTTGGCTGAGGTGCTCAGATCGACGTTCACAGCATCAGTTCTCAGAGCCACAATGGTGGCCGCGTCACTTCGTCGCTCGGCATAGATGCGCTGCTCGAAAACCTGTGAAGCAGCAGGTGGGAACTCAGGGTCCAGGGGCAGGCTGGAGGCTGAGGCACCCATGACGGTACGGTACATCTCCACACCCTCTGGCAGCATGGACTTGATCTTGGGGAGCCAGCGCTTGCGGACACGGCGAGCGTTGGTACACATGTCTGCAGCGATCACGTTCATCTCACTCTCCTTGAAGCTGGGAGCGAAGTTCTGACAGTACACTGCAGTGAGAAGCAGAAGGAGGGGGTGTAAGAGCAGCCTGGCCCCTCACTGCTTGGCCCACTGCTGACCAAGTGTCTACAGAATCGAGACAGTCCAGGGCTGGACTGTCTGCAATCTTGGTTCTCACTGAGCTCCTCTGATTTAAACTATCAGTCCAGAAGTCACTTTCTCCATCCTCGGACCAGGATACCCATGTGACTCTTTGGGATGGTGCCTATGACAGCAAGATTAGTCAGCTAGGGTGCCCATCAGGTTTGGACCTGTGTTTAACTTCTCTGACTTTCCCACCTCCACTTGCAAACTGGGACAGGTAGAGGGTCCTCCCCAGGTAGAGGGTCCTCCCCACATGAGGAACTGCCTTCCTGACACCCTCTTTGGTTTCAGCAAACAAGGAAGATGGTGTCATCATCAACCAAACAAAACAAAAACCTACCAGAAGCTGGAGACCAAGGTCAGGCCCAGGTCCCCACTGAGCAGAAACAGTTCCCTAAGAGCCCATTTTCACTACCTTCTAGTATCTCTGGGTCCTACTGTCACTCCGTTCCGCAGGACTACAATTACGTACTGCTAAGACCCTTCTTCTATAAAACAGAGTTAGTATCATAAAGGGAATTTCTAAGCAAGACATTTCTTCCACAGGCGGCTGTGCTCTGGACCAGTCTGTATGTTGGGTGGCACAGCTTCTTCTGTATCTGAGGGTACAGGGCTGGGCGGTGGCTTGCCACAGAGATGGACTGGGCTCCGCCCCACCACGCAGGAGCGGGAGGCAGAAGCCGGCCGAACAGATGGCAAAGGCTCAAAATAACCTCAACATGTAAATAAGGGGTTTTGTTCAAAAAGGAAAATTAGATCTATTTCACATATTAAAATAGTTTCGCAGCTGAATTCATCACACTTGGAAACCTACCAAGGACGTTAACACCTCGAGACGGTTTTGCTTGCTGCTCTTTTCTCCCTCCTGGTCCTAGTGCTACAGGCCAAAGCAAGCACTCAGGACAGGAGCCAGTGGCCCAGAATAACCCTGGGGCTAACTGCTGGGATCTCAATTCCAGATGGGATTCCTACGATTTCCCAAACCAGGTGATCCCACACCACCCACTCACACTTCACAGCGTTCAGGACTCGACTGTCCAGTGGCTTTCGGCTGGGGTCACTGGTAGACGAGCGAATACCGGTGCCACAGCTATTGGCCAGTGTGTTCCTGGAGGAGGGATAGAAAGGAGATGGGTTGGTCCAGAGGTGACCTAAGGAATGGGGCTCCCCACCCACCCACCAGGTGAAATAACCCAAATCACCACACCCACCCTGTGTCTCGGTGAGTCATAGCCAATGTGGGGAGAAGGTCCAGGCTTTTCTAAGAGACAGCACTCCCAGTTGAGTGACCACCTCAGGCACTGTCCATGGGAAACCCTGAGCCACCTGAATGAGTTGCTCTTCCTTGGGGAAGGGGCTGTTGACCCATGCACATAGAGGTGTACACGTGGCTTTTCACTTTTGGAGGGGAGGGAGACACAGCCAGTTTTCTCTAGACTGAGCCCTGGAATAAGAGGATGTGCTATCTTTCTGGAGCCTTTCCAGGGCATCTCCAGGCCAAATGTCCACATTAGTGTCAGGAAAAAGCTCAACCCTTTGTTGACCAGACAGCTCACAGGTAGAGGAAACTCTAGGATCTTCTGCTGTCCCCTACACACCTACCTGTCAAAGAAGGTAGCTAGGAGCCTCCGCAGCAGGACCTTGTGCTTCACCCCTGCACACAGGTGGCAGTTCATGAGCTGGCCACGTGTGATGTAGACCCCGGAGCCTAAAGCCAGCAAACATCGATGTATGAGGTATTTAACCTTATAAACCAAGCCTGCTAATGCCCTCTAAGGGGATGCCAGGGTCACAAAAGACTGCAGGGGAGCCTGGAGAAGGGTGGAAGGTGAAGTGGGGTCTCTAGGACAAAAACAACCTCAGTTCTCATCTGCTGGAAGATGCTAGGGCTGGAGGATGCTAAGGCCAAGCCCTTCCCATCACACTACCATCCTCAATTGAAACCCAGCAGGATTGGGGGATGCTGTGACAAATCCCACACCTTCAATGTCTCCTAAACCCCCAGCTTTCTCTTTTACCCCAAGATAGGGTTTCTCTGTGTAATGGCTCTGGCTGTTCTGGAACTCGATTTGTAGATCAGACTGGCTTCAGACTCACACAGATCCACTTGCCTCTGCCTCCGAAGTGCTGGGATTAAAGGTGTGCACCAACACCACCCAGCTCTCCAGCATCCTTTATTGTGGGCAAAATGAGAGAGACCGCCTCAGCCCTCGCCACTTCCTTAGAAACTCTGGGACTGGCTCTGGCTTTGCCTTTCTACCCTGTCCCTTTCCAAATGCCAAAGAGCCTTGAGCAAAAATTGGGAGAGATGGGATGGTGGTCTGCAGAGTCTAACAGGCTTCTACAGGCTCAGCACCGGCCTCTCTACCTCATGTGTCCAAGGAAGATCTAGTGCAGGTCTGAACAGGGAGGCCACTCTCAGCCATACACCCTGAAGAAAGATGGCAATGTCTCAGGAGGCCTTAGGGTGTGGGTGAGAAGAGAACCCATGGGGACCAGAGGAGCAAATCAGGGAGGCCCTTGTTTACATGGCATTGCCACAGGGGAAGAGCCCATCCTTTGACTTTAGAGGACAGCACAGGTGAAACCTATGGGGGTGTCACACCCAAATGGTGTATCTAGTAATACACTCCCACTCATGTGGGTCTCCCTCACCTGGCTTTGTTGTTGTTGTTTTTCAATACAGGGTTTCTCTGTGTGGCCCTGGCAGTCTTAGACTAGTTCTGTAGATCAGGCTGGCCTGGAACTCCAGGGATCTGCCTGCCTCCGCCTTCTAAGTTCTGGTATTAAAGGCATGCACCACCATGCCTGGTTCATCTTTCTTTCTACCCCCCCATCCCAAGACAGAGTTTCTCTGTACAGCTATGGCTGCTCTGGAACTCACTTTGTAGACCAGACTGGCCTTGAACTGAAGAGATCTACCTGCCTCTGCCTTCCGAGTACTGGCACTAAAGGAGTGTGCCACCACATCTGGCTGTTCAACTTATTTCTGATGAAGCATAAGCTAAGCCTTTTAAAGACAAGCCCTTATTATATAGTCTAGGCTGTCTTCTAATTCTTAATTCCCCTTCCTCAGCCTCTAAAGCACTTGGTTACAGGTGTTCATACCACACCTCATTCCTAGATCTTCCGTCAGCCCTGTCTATTAGGGCTTAGCAGAAAGAAGGGCCTAGGTGAGACAGAAACTCGCTCTTGCCTAAGGAACTATTCTGCCCTCTTAAAGGGCATCACAGCAGTCTGAGAGACTGTCTCTAGCTCCCAGGGACTCTATCCTGCCCCAGAACAGGGCTGGAGCAGCCCCACCCACACCACTCTGGAAACAACACTCCCACTGCCTACTGTAGTGCTGGTGATGGAGTCTCTAAGGAAGCGGTTTCCAGGAGAGGGCGGCAATTGGACAGACTATGGAGTTCCTGTTCCATTGAGAGAGTGGACTTCAAGATGCTGCCCAAGACAGGGCAGCAGAGGGTATCTGGTAGAAACAGGAGAGGCTGGCTCAGGGAGGCAAGGCTTAGATGCAGGACTGAGAAACCTGTCCTACTTGCTTGGGACTCCCCAAGCAAACAGAAAGAGCAATTAAGCCAGGCGGTGGTGGCACACGCCTTTAATCCCAACACTCAGGAGACAGAGGCATGTGGATCTCTGTGAGTTCAAGAGCAGCCTGGTCTACAAGAGCTAGTCCAGGACAGCCTCCAAAGCCACAGAGAAACTCTGTTACAAGAAAGGGGAAAAAAGAAAGAAAGAAAAAGAAAGAACAATTAAAGACCAGACATAGTGGCTTACATCTTTAATCACTCTGGAGACAGAGGCAAGAGGATCTCTATGAGTTTGATGCCAGTCTGGTCTATATAGAGAGACTTGTCTCAAACAAAAAAGCAATTAAATCAAACAGTATGGCACCAATGGTGTGCCACCCACTTGGATCTTGTTGAATATTGCCTTACAACATGCAAGGACACCAACACTAAAGGATGCTGTTTCTGAAAAGGTACTGGCCTTGAGGGCTTCCGAACTCCACCTTGGACTGTGAGCTGCCATTCAGACATTACACCTGGACAGTGCGATAGGACGGACACTGATAAACTACGTGACTCGATACTATCTGTGACCTAAATTAAAATGCATCAGGTATATAGCCCCTGCCAATCAGGAGCCTGGCCAGCTCAGCTCATTGGACTCAATTAAAATGCTAAATTAATTCAATTGAATAACTCCTCTTAATGACACATTCTTCTAAAAGGAAATTAGAGGAAATTTAAGATGTTCTTTTTTTTCTTTCTTTTTGACTGATTGGTGATGAGTGCATTGTTCATAGCTCTGGAAAATAATGGATAGGACATTTGCATACAGTGATGATGATAGGTGGGGCTGTCTCACCTGCTACAAGCTCCAGTTTCTCTCCAGGATCACCTTCTGAGTAGAGCTTTGGGTGGCAGCGGTACCCAATCTGGCTGATGAGGCTGGCAGGTAGTGCCACCAGGTCTCGACGGATGAGGACACAGGAGCGGCTTTCCAGGGGCACAGGCTCTGGCTTCTCTTGCACTAAGGCAAAGAACTAATCCAATTAGGTGGGAGTCTGTGGGTGAACCTGGGCAGCTCTATGCCTGCCCACTGCATTCCCTAAGGCCCAGGTTAGAAGCATTCTGCATCAGTCTAAGGCTAACCTGAACCCATGCCAGCCAGCCCCTCCACACTATATATGCAGTGTGTCCACCTCCAGCCCTGATGGCATGAATAAAACCACTTCTGGAACAGGTAGCTGGGCCCAAGAGTTCCTCTGTACCTGCAGCTCTGAGGTTGTACCCATGATGCTGGTTCACAGGTATGAGTGTGCTCCACAGAATGCAGGACACAAGTTAGCCAGCATCAGCATCCAACCAATAAGAACAGCTGCTTACAAGTCACAGAGGGCTTGGGCCAAGGCTTCTTAATAAGGACTACCTGCTGGGTACCCTATGCACTACAAGGCCAATGAAGACCTGTGGTCCTAACCCCAATCCTGCAGTCTTTTCTCAGTCCCTCCATTCACCCACTGCTTCTACAGCTCCCTTTCCCAGGAGGCCTCGCACTTGGGCTAGCCTTTTAGCTAGTCCTTAGTCCATGCTCTCATAAGCTACAGAAATTGTTAGTAACACATAAAGCCACCCTGCTCAGACAGAAGCCACAAATGTCATAACACTCTCTCCTGTGTTTCCAGCACACAGGTTAGGTCCTGAGAGCATGACCTGTCACCAGCAAGCTGTCCCCTGATGTTGTGTTTCTATGTTTGTGTGTGTGTGTGTGTGTTTATGCATGTGTGTTTGCTTGTTTGTGTCTATATCTGTGTGGTACAGGTAGGACTTGGCTCTAAGACAGCTAGAACCTACTGGCCCCATAGACTTAAAGAGTCTGGCAGGCTCAATGCAGGTGGCTCAGACTAAGGTCTTGCTCTGAGGCAATTCCTAGATCTGACACAGGTGCACCTGGTTGTTCCAGATGGGCTAGCTTCCCATCCCTCCTCACAATGACTACACAGTAGGGACTCAAAGCACCTTTCAGCAGGGGGCCACTGAGTAGCATCCACATGAGGGCAGATGGCAAGAGAGGGTCCTGCATAGGAAGGATTTGCAAGTCATCTTGACACCCTGCTCCTGAGGGAGATGTCGGGGCACCCATCCCTAAAGGCCAACATGTGTGTTCTAAAGTGACTACCCACACCCTGAGGGGCAGTGAATCACTACTGAAGTGTGCAGGAGAGGTGTCCCCAGTGTCTGTCTGGAGTCCCAGGGCAGGGTCTCCAGGGTGCCTCAGGCTCATTACTGTTGCTGCAGCTCGGGATAAGCACAACCCCACCTGCATCTGAGGGGTCTCAGAGCCTGAACACATTCAGTGAAGACAGAGCCAGAAAAGTGGAAGCTGAAAAGATGCAAACCCCTGCCTGGTACCAACTGGTGGTCAGGCTGGCCAGGTGGCATTCCACAACCAACGGGGCAATGAAGATTCATTTCAGCCCGGAATTACCCAGAGACTGAGGGAACACATCAAACAATCCGGATGGTATTTTAAAACATAATTATCCGCCCCCCGCCCCCCCTGCCCCGCCTGCTGTGATTACACATGCAAACGAGCAGCGCCAACGCTGTGCGCAGTGCGTGGCATTTACATAAAGAGTGTTCACCAACAGAAATAATTCTCCATCCGCAGCCAGCACTCTCTTGAGATGTTTTTCTCAACAGCACAAGTTGTTTGCGCTCCACATGCACACCCCTCCCCAGCCTGGCTCCCCAAGAGCCGGAGACTGTCAGCCCAGAGCCCCAAAAAACCTCTTCTATTTCTGCCCTGCCAAGTGCTGGATGCTGCGGCGGCTAAAAATACCCTAAACTGAGCCTGAGCTCATAGGCAGAGGTGCTCTGAACTCCTTCGGGTGCCTCGCCCCTTCTCCAGGTACCCTTGGGGTGGCTCTGGTCACCACCCAGGCTACAGCAGCTAGGTGTCAAGGGAAACTCCAGAGGCTCACTCCCTAAGGAGATAGGACATTCTTCCCCAGGGGACCTCAACAGGCCTCTAGTCAGGACTGGTGCTTGTTCCAGGTGTACTGGGAGTTCAGTTGTTCTTGCCAATCCCCACCCCCACTCGGAGGCCCGTGAACTGAGGAGAGATCCTGTGATCACATGAAGTTCCCTGCATCCCCGGCTCTGGTCTCAGGTACCAGGAGACTTCAGTCATCCAGAACTGGTCCCAGTGGTATCAATGTTACTTTTACATTCCCCAGACCAGGTGACAAGACTCTGGTTTCTAGGACTGAGCATCCTAGGGAGAGAGCATGTGAGACATAGACAGCTGTCTCTGTGAAGAGCTGACTAACCACTCACTGAAGTATAGTCACTTCCTAGACATAGCAGAAAGATCTGTTATAGTGGTGCCCCTAGACATCAGGCGCTGCTCCTCTCTCCAGGATCAGTAATCCATCCTCTTTAGGTTACACCAGGGAAGCAAACTGGATACTGGTGGACACATGATATGTGGGTTTCATTCCAGGGCTCTTAGCATGGTCTTCCAGGAGGACAGCTAAGCCTGAGGCCCAGCCGTACCAACCAAGTCTGGGTGGTAGACACACAGGGACCCAACTCTCACTGAAGGGCTCCGTGCTGAGTGAAATAAGTCAAGTACAGAAAGCCAAACTTGTACGATTTCACGTTTGCAAGCGTCCTGGGTGTCAAACCCTATGCAAACAAGAGGTAAAATGTGGATATCGTTAAGTGGGGGATCTGTGTCAGTTTGGGAAGATCTTAGGAAGTTCTGTGGATAGGATGATAGTGATGGCTGAATAATGTGAATAGCACACTGAAAATGACTGCAAAATATTATCTCATACTCCAGGTACAAGCACATTTAAAAGGAGGAAGAGGCCGAGCATGATGGCTCATGCCTATAATCTAGTACTTGGCAGACAGGAGGGTCAGAAGTTCAAGGTCGTGCTCAGCTAAATAGCAAGTTTGAGGTGGGCCTCATAAGGCCCTGTTTTAAATACAAAAATAAAGCTGGGCAGTGGTGGTGCACACTTTTAATCCCAGCACTCAGGAGGCAGAGGCAGGCAGATCTCTGAGTTCGAGGACAGCCTCCTCTACGAAGCTACACAGAGAAACCCTGTCTCTAAAAACCAAAACCAAACCAAAAATAAAACTAAAAAAACAAACAACAACAATAAGCATTTGGGTGTAGTTTTAGTAGTAAAGCATGTTAGGCTGAGATGAGGTCCTGCAAAAAGCAAGGGAGAGTAGGAGAGAGGGAAGGGCAGATCTCACAGCCTGTTTTGTCTCCCACAGGATCTGCCCCCAGGAGGCTGCCCAGTAGGAATTCCCCTCTCCCCAGCATCTCCCACCCTGGTCCACAATGTCCTTGGGATTCACCCTCAGAAGCATCATGACAACCCCACTGTTGGGAACCCCATCAAGAAATACCATGCTGATATGAACAGCTGGGCAAGTGGCCACTCAGATCAGAGTTGCACCGAGGCCTGGGGAAGGAGATTCCAACCTCCTTCACAGAATAGATGTACACACCCCCTCAACATACAGAATCAGAACACTAGTTCCTAATTGTGAGCAGGAAAACATGAGCCCAAGATTTAAGAAAAATGCCAGTTCTTTCTGGAAGACTCATTAACAATGCAATCATCAAGACCACATGGTACAGACAGACAGACAGCAGACCAGCTCATCCCAGAGCTGCCACAGACATCTACACACGTGTACTCTGCTGGGTTACACCAGTGGGAGCCGGCCAGCCGATTCCCCAAACCAAAGCCAGGGCCATTTTCATTCAGACACTCATTCCTCATACAGAAGTGACTCAGGAGACTTCTGGAAGCAACAGTAGGAAAAGCCTGTTCTTGGGTTTGGCTCAGAGCTTGGACATGATCCCCAAAACAACCAGAAATGTCAGTTCTTCAAAATGAAAAACAAAGACAAGCAAACAAAAACTTACATGAAAGAGTAACAAAACAGGGTGGCTACAGATGGGAAGAAAAAAAACTCTGAAAACTCAACATTTAAAAACAGCAACAACAAAACAAGGGCTGAGGAGGTGGCTCATTGAGAGATAGCTGTTCTAAAGGTCCCGAGTTCAATTCCCAGCACACACACATGGAAGCTCACCACAACAGGCCATAACTGTAGTCCCATGAATTCCAGTGCCCCTTCTCGTGTGGGCATGCAGACAAAAGTACTCATGTGCATGAATACTTAAATAAATAAATCTTTAAAAACAAAACAAACGAGCCTCACAAAATGTAGAAATGTAGAAAGATAAATGATGAGAATCTGCACCGGTAAAGTGCTTGCTCAATACTCAGTCAAGAAATGAAACTAACCCCACAATAGAATACTATCCTGTTCTGTGAAGTCAGGACCTAGCATACAAGGGCTAGCGAGGGTAGAACATGGAATCCTTGTGCCATCAAAATGAGAGCTACCTTAAAAAGCAGCCCCGTGGATCCTCAAAGCAGGAGACCAGGAGAAACCATTGCCCACCTCTGTAGGCACCAGCTCGGCAGAGAACCAGAGTCTGGCAGTGAAAGGGTCATACTCATAAAGGACACCCACGGAACACAGTGATCTTGGGTCTTAGGAACAGATTTACAGGGATGCAGAGCAGGAAACCTGGAAGAGAGGCCTCACAGTGGTGAGGTGAATAGGCTGCAACAGACACCAGGCCTTGGTGATTGATGGCTGGAAGCCAGGGTATGGGAGGTACTACCTGTACACTCAGGCAAAGGGAACCCCACACGTCCTGATCTTCCACAGAGGACTGTGCTCCCACTCCCACCAAACACACACTTCCTGCCTAACACCAGCCAGGCCTGGGCCACTAGCAGTTCTAAATCAGGGACACTCAGTGTGGTTCTCTTTCCTCTGGGTACCACCTCTTCTCCCAGTGTTAAGGGTGGGTTCTATGGTTCAGCTGGCTTTCTGTCAGCTGGGCCAGCCAGCTGCATGCTTAACATGACCTGGGAGTCAGTGGCCTGTCATCCAATAAGGGCCTAATACAACTTAGGCTTCACC